CCCATTGACACTCAAGGGGTTAAGATATCTGTCATCTCCACTCGATACAGCGCTATCTATACGTTCTGCTTTAATTACACAAATTCACTACTTTAAAAACAAATTCTCTGCTTTACAAACACAAATTCACTATTTTAAAAACACAAATTCACTGCTTTAAAAACACAAATTCACTGCTTTAAGCACACAAATTCTTTGCATCATATAGGCTGCGTTCCACTTAACGCTCACAACGCTCGTGAAATCATTTCATCCTTGTCGTTTATCAAAGATGTAATTTTGGCACGCATTTTACGCTAGAGACCCTATAGTATAACAGAGATGCGCAAAGTGTCATGTGATCGTAATTTCTCTAGGTTTGTCGCGTCGCAAGCTCCAACATGTTCCAATATGCTCCAATCATAGCTCCTACTCACTCTATCAAGCGCGTTGGAGTGAGTAAGAGCTATGGTAGGAGCATATTGGAACATGTTGGAGCTTGCGACGCGAACAAACCTTCTGTTATACTATAAGGTCTCTAGCGTACGCGCGACGCGTGAAGTGACCCTACGTGGGAGGATACTTAAGGGTTAAAATTGTAATGTATTGAAATGATGAAAAAATTTTGCTTAATTTCTCTAATTAAAAGCAAAAATTACGCTATCTTTGATTGATTATTTTGTGTATGCCTTTCTTATAAGAAACACGCTAAAGAATATAAACGTAAAATAATTTATCGTTTCAACAATTCCTTTACTTTTCTGTGGTCCTATCGTGCGACCAAGGTATGGAAAAAGATGTTGAATGATCTGTCAACATATTTGCTGTCTTGACGACATCCTTAGGCAGCACTGCCCATGGAAGGAGAAAAGAAAAAGCATCCAAAATGACACCCCTTCGTTCCACGCTCATTAGAATGAATTCTTTGGTTCGTGTCACGCCTGCCTCTTACTACTGTCTACTGTATGTGTGTTGCGTGCACGCGCGTGACATATGTAAATTTAAACTTGTCTAACCGCATAATTTTAAGAGAATAAAATATCCCGTGAAAAAAGATGTATTACATAAATGGATTTTTCCTCACTCAACTTGTAGTAAAATATTATGAACACAGAACATTACAAATATACAATTAAAAATATCGCCCAATTATACATTGCTTAATTGATTGAAAAAAGAATAATTAATTAAATAAAATAGCGAAAACGAGTACACTTTCAAGATGTATACGTTATAATGCACCTTGAGAATCCAAGAATTAATTTTCAACTGTGCTCAGCTTGAAAACTTTGCAAATGTATAAGCACTATTTAATTCCTTTCAATAAAAAATAAATATGGATATCTCCTTAATAGAAGAAACCCTAACGAAAATAAAAATCGGAGCATAAATCGGATGTAATGGGAGAGTAACAGAAGCGTAAACGAAACTTCTGCTAGAAGGCGAAAATTGGAACAATGAAATGTAAAAGAAGCATTTACGCTTCTTTTACATTTTGATGTTTCAATTTTCGCCTCCTAGAAGTTTCGTTTATGCTGTTGTTACTCGCTCCCATTACATTCAACTTACGCTCTGATTTTTATTTTCATCAGGGAATTAGTAAAATGTTTAATTATGTATGATATATATATATATAATGTTGGTAACAACAATTAGCAATCATACTCGGCCAATATACATGCACATATACATATATACAGGGTGTTTCCAAATTAAATGGCAAAACTTCGGGAGCGTGTAGAGGAGTAAAAAACTAAGAAAAAAAGTCCTATAGACATATGCTCGTTTTTGCTCCG